TCCACATACTCTCTCAATCCACCCTGGAACAGGTGGGTCAGTTCTAGTGATGTTATACCATCCATAATATCTAGGCTTATAATATGTGTACTGTGTATTCATTTGCAGCTACATGTGACATGTCTCTTTCCTTCCTTCCTCCCTCCCTCCCTCCCTCCTTCCCTTCCTTCCTTCCTTCCTTCCTTCCTTCCTTCCTTCCTTCCTTCCTTCCTTCCTTCCTTCCTTCCTTCCTTCCTTCCTTCCTTCCTTCCTTCCTTCCTTCCTTCCTTCCTTCCTTCCTTCCTTCCTTCCTTCCTTCCTTCCTTCCTTCCTTCCTTCCTTCCTTCCTTCCTTCCTTCCTTCCTTCCTTCCTTCCTTCCTTCCTTCCTTCCTTCCTTCCTTCCTTCCTTCCTTCCTTCCTTCCTTCCTTCCTTCCTTCCTTCCTTCCTTCCTTCCTTCCTTCCTTCCTTCCTTCCTTCCTTCCTTCCTTCCTTCCTTCCTTCCTTCCTTCCTAGGTCTTCTTGGAACTCTCCAAGGAGCAGGAGCTGGATGGCTTTGAGGAGGAACTAGATTCCTCAGTCAAGTGGAAGCTCCTCCCACAGGAAGAGGCTTAGGCCAAAAGCACTACGTGTCTGTACAAGCCTGTGTTATCTTCCTTCCTTCCTTCCTTCCTTCCTTCCTTCCTTCCTTCCTTCCTAGGTCTTCTTGGAACTCTCCAAGGAGCAGGAGCTGGATGGCTTTGAGGAGGAACTAGATTCCTCAGTCAAGTGGAAGCTCCTCCCACAGGAAGAGGCTTAGGCCAAAAGCACTACGTGTCTGTACAAGCCTGTGTTATTTTTTTAAAGACATTTATTTTTATAACATCAGTGAAATATTTTAGTAACTATATTGTAAACACCATGATGGTTCTTCATGTTTGTGGGGGAGAGGGGGGCAAATGCTGGGTAGAGGTAGAAGCATATGGACAGCATGCCCAGCATCCCAGCTCTTCATCTCTGCAGGCCACCCTGGTGCCACTTTTCTGTGTAATACTGAATAAATACAGTTACTTTTATATAATTGTTTAACTTTCTGAGTTTGCTGCATTTTGTTTAATTTTTTAAATAAAAAATCTCAAAATATGCTTTTCTTACCTAGAATGTGAAATCCATGCATTTAGTCTCAGGATACCTGATATTTTGAAAAGCTGATATCGTGTATGGATAGAAATACTAAAGCCTCTTTGGTCAATATATGGAATCTACATAGTTAATATATCAACTGGTAACACAGTTATATAGACATAATCTAGAAAGCCAAAAACTTGCCATTAGGAATTGTCTGTGGTTTTTTTCCATTACTGTAACCCAACTGTGCTCCATTTCCACTTTATCATTACATCTGGGCTTTAGAGACGCCTGGGCTATGGTTGATCTTCCATGAATATTTGTCACATGATTTAAGATCACTCATAAATACAGTAATAGATCACATGACTAAGTAGATCTGCCCCTCTCCCAGCAACCATCCATTGCCAAAAATTCCTCAGCTAGGGTTGAGGCTTCTTGTCTACTTCCCCACATCTATACTGGAATTTTGTCTGGTTCAAGCTTAGATGGGTCTTGTGCATGCTGTTACCATTGCTATTAGTTCATATGAGTAACTGCCCAGCTGTCTGGAAAACTGTTTTTTTTTTGTGGTCATCTGCCAGCTCTGGCTCTTACAACCTTTCTGCCCCCTCTTCTGATCCCTGAGCCTTGGGAGGCAGAGGTTTGATATAGGTGTCCAATCCAGGGATAATCAGTCTGTAGTCTCTTATTCTCTGCACATTAGCCAGTTGAAGGTCTCTGTGTTGATCACCACCTGCTACATGAGGAAGCTTCTGTGGTAAGAGTTTGTGAGAATATCTATGGGTTCAAGAATAAGTTAGCAGGAGTCAGTTGAATGTGATGTCCATTTGGCAAAATAATATCAATAGACTCTCCATTGTGGCCTGTGAACTGTCTAGTCACAGGTTCCTGATATCAGTGTCAGGGGTGACCTCTGTCTTGTGATGTGGACCTTAAATCCAAACAAAAAGTGGTTGGTCACTCCCATAACATCCATGCCACTATCGCACCAATAGGCATATATTTCAGGGCTAGTTGTTTTCATAACTTGCAGGATTCACATCAGGATAAGGTTGATAATTGGGACCCTTGGTCAACAACTTCAAAAGAGGAAGTCTATTCCTGGCATTGGGCTTTTTTTCTGCTAGCCTACAGTGTCTGTTAGGGGCAATGTCCCCCTTTTAATCTATTTTGATTATATATATATATACTCTAAGAAGCTTCTGCAATGGGAGGCTTCCATATGACTTTTTCCAAAGCATGTTGTTTTCTTCGTTCCTTGAATGAGTGATCTCCTATTTACAAGTTTCATAAATTTTTAAAAATACTTTCTAAATAAGCAGGCATAATTGACAGCATAGACTGATGAAGGTACAGATATACCATACACAGGTATACACACCGACACATATAAAAATAAAATAAATCTTTAAGGCAATTCAAGAAAACAATTCTTTTTGGTCTTAGTCTGCTTAATGAAGTCCACTATTGAGTGTAAACCCATTTGGCCTTGAATTTGAAGGAAACATTGGATGTTTGTCAGGAAAATGGGCCAGAATAACTAAAAAGGCAACTCAAAGTGTCAAAAACAAACTGTGCTTCAAAACAAAGCGTGTGTCTAAAAACAGCCTGCACATTGCTTGACCAAAGGCCCACCGACATTTCAACAGTGGTGACTGATTCTTCAGTTACAGTCTTTGAGAGTCTAAGAACTGAAGAAAACTGGCAATCTCAGCTCCAAGTGGAAACCACAGCAAAATCAACAACTAAGAAGATAATGTCAAACTCAAGATGAGTGGTTTATTTTATTCTGAATGGAGATGGGGGAGACTAGTGAACCATGAGGGACTTGTTTTAGCTGCCTAGAGGAGAGAGAGACAGAGAGACAGAGACAGGAGGAAAGAGGGGGAGGGGAGGGAGTGAGAGAGAGAGAGAGAGAGAGAGAGAGAGAGAGAGAGAGAGAAATTTCCTGGAGTAATTGCAATTTCTTTCAGGCATGTACCATCCTGAACCAAAAGCCCTTTGACTCTTTTTTATATAACGATCATGGTCATAGCTTGTGGCCACCCAATATCAGATTTTTCTGGGATTTTGCAATAAATAAACCACAGCTGTTGAGTATTTAGACACAGCTGTCTAAGCAGGGACACCCAGTTCGGGCTCATTATAAACTTTGTGGCTTCCTTTATGAATGACTACTTCCTTTGCTTTCTCTAAAAGGAGTTTTATTTGTTTGTTTATCTTTTTTTGTTTTTTACTTTATAGAAATACAATATTTTTAGTCCCTTTTTATTGAGCTTTGGCAAATTCATAAAACAGTTCTTAATCAAATTTACATCCCTCCCCATTCATGTCTTCCCTATCCCTCCACCAGATCTCTTGTATTCCACCATACATGTTAAATCCTATCCAGTCCAGCCTTTGTAACCACATGTCATATTTTATTTATTTTTATTTTATGTGTATGAGTGTATTGCCTGCATGTATGTGAGTGCACCCATGTCATGCAATGCTCTGGAGGTCAGAAGAGGGCTTTGGAGTCCCCTGGAACTAGAGTTAAGGACGGTTCATAGCCGCCATGTGGGTGCTAGGAATCGAACCCGGATCCTCTGCAAGAGCAGTCAGTGCTCTTAACCGCTGAGCCATCTCTCCAGCCCCATCTGTGATTTCTTTTACTTCCTTTGCTTCTCTAAGAGGAGTTTTTAATAGCAGATATGCTTAAACACACACAGGGAGATTGCTCTGTGTGTGTGGACACAGATTCCAAACTCTATGCTGCGTGTCTGCTGTTTAAAACATGGGAACTTGGAAAGGAAAGTGCTCTGTGGTTCAGAAGCTTCAGGAGCCTGGCTCACAGATCTCCTGAGGAAACCCCAACAGGGCAGAGTGCTGGCAAAGAAAGCAAGAAAAAAGAATAAAATGATCTCTAGGAAAAGGAAGATGTGTCAGAGAGCTAGAATGGAAAGAGAAGCAGCGGGTCTCCCACCATTTGACTCATTATAAATTCATCTAGAAGGATGAAAGAAAGTTTGAGACACGTGAAAAGAAGAAAGGAAGCTCTGTTAAGTCATCAGAGCCTTTGACACTAGAGAGGAGGTGCTAAGGGTGCCATCAGCCCAATATCCAAATTTAATGCAAAACTACATTTGTACTGTTTCTTTTCCACTCACAGCCCCAGGCAAGCTTCTTCTGATAACCAAGGCCACAAAGATGATACTGGTATCATTTTTACTTCTATCAAACCATAGTAAGTGTGTCCACCATAGCTTGAGAACAAGGAGCTGGCAAATATGCTTCATCATCGTGTACTGTTCCCTTAATTTTGGCTGAAATAGCCACCAAACTATAGAGTTAATAATAATCTAGCAGGTTGTTTTAACAGGAAGGATTACAGGCTCTCAGCCCCTCCAGCATGTCCAGGTTCAATTTGGGATTTGAATGGTATTAAGCCATATTACCACCTTTATGTCAGAGCAACTAATTATGCTAATATATTAAAAATAAAGTTGGGGCATGTCCCCATGGGTATTGAAACTCCAAATCCACCTCCATGGGGGTCCAAGTTATTAAACCAATAGACTAAGATGTTTCAAACATGATTGTGAATATTTTATTTTACATTTTATAGAATGTCAATAAGAGCAAGTACTTTTATCACTTTAAGGGACACCAGATTTTAAAAGACTGAGAAACTGAGGTCAAGGGGTTTATTTGTTCTTAGTTATTTGTTCTCCTGAGATGTTTACAAAGACTAGATGCAGAAAGCAAAATGAGAATGATTCAATAGCTGTTAGTTTCCCTCTTAGCTTAAACATGCAAAGATTTCTAAAAGAGGAAACGATAGAATTATTGTGTAATGTGTGTGTGTGTGTGTGTGTGTGTGTGTGTGTGTGATATAGTTGCATGTTTGTGTGGGTGTATGCACGTGTATGTGCTTGTGGAGGCCAGAGGTTGAGGTCCAGGGTTTTCCTTGATCACACTCCACCTATTCTTTTGAAACAGGCTTTCTCACTCATCCATTCAGCGAGGCTGGCTGGTCATTGAGCTCTGCTCCTCAGCACTAGGGATACAGATTCTCACCACCATACCAGGCCTTTTAACATGGGTGCTGGGGATCCCAACTCAGGTCCTTACACTTACACGGCAGGCACATAACTGACTGAACCTTATTCCCATCCCCAAACATGTTCATTTTCTGTTTATGCCTTCTTGCATTGCAGTGAATGATTTAAGATAATTTATAACTAAAGAATAAAAATGCAACTATGCAGTTCGGACAAGCGGTAAAGAAAAGTGAAAACAATGATATGTAGGAAACATATAAGGAAAGGAAGAAAAACATTAGGCAAAAGGAAAATTAGACTCCATTTCCATCTCCACAGATGGTTTGAAAAAAGAATGACACAATTTTTCATCATTAGAAATGGCTGCAGCCATATCTCAAAGGAATTAACCTCAGCTGGCCAGCCACATTTCACAATAAATGAATGCTTAAAAATACTGCAGCTGCTAAAGATGTCTGAGAGAGAAAGACATATCTGTGTGGCATGTTCCACAGAACAGAGGGGGCATGAAAAATAATCCTCGTAGGCTGATAATACAGTAGCTCCATAAAGCCAGCATTCTATCAAGAAAACCTTCTTCTACTAAAAAATATAAATTCTTGCACATGAAGACTTTAAATTTATTTATTTCCCAGAAGAATCATTAAGGCACCTTCCAAGTAAAAGTAGCATGTGGTCAGATTATTCTCCTTCAGAGAGAAAAACTTCACAACCAGATCAAATTAAAAAAAAAAAAAAAAAAAAAAAAAGGACCAGGCAGAAAGACAGAGAAAAAAATCTGTGCACAAAGATTGGCTATTTTGAAACAACCCAGACACCTT